TAACTTTCCACTCTGTTTTACCAATATGTTTGTGTTTAGGTTTTTAATATACAGTAAGCAATTGAGATAGCCAAAGAAGCCTTGTAAATTTGGTAAAACAAGACAGAAACCTTGCAATTTCAGGAACTGAGGTTACTGGATAGTAAAAGGATATGTCAAAACATGTGTCATGTCATTACTCAAATGATGCAACTTATATACTTGTGTCAGGCATTATAATACGAATATGTAACTGTATTATTTGTGGGATGATATGATGCACATATTCATTTAATCATTTTGACATCACTATGACTTGTAACAGATTCCTATGGATGACTCTAGAAAATTTACATGGCTACCTAGACTAGATGTTACCCAAGGAAACAGTCAAGAATTCCCATGATTAAACATAGATATAAAATTCAGCTGTTCTATGCATTTTCACATAAACTGCGATGGTTACTCCAGACCAAGCCTTATTTATTCATACAACCATTTATAGACTTTTGAGAACACAACGCATAATGGACTTACAGCAGTAGTTTTCCAAGTTTTTAGACTCTACCTACCAATGTAAAGTTTCAGCTTTACTGCAAATATGCATAAATATGTGCATGAAGTCACATGCATATAGCCAACTATTTCACAGTAATACCACTAAGCTATTATTTTTAGAATGTATACTATCATACAATTACCATGACCTTAATATACATTCAGACAAAAATAAAACACAGAACGAAAGAGCAGACTTGAAGCATTAGAACAACCACAACAATATATTTAAAAGATTTGGGCAAATTTAAACTTTTCTTCCTGTACCAGATCAGACTCAAAGCATGCTGATTTTGCCTAAGCTTTCTGGTAATTTAAAGAGTAAAATGAATTTTGCCCATATTTTGTGATTAATAATTACATAGGAGGAGGACAGGTACACAGTGACAGAAATGCCTATGTACCATCTATAGAGTGTGGTAATGGCAGAAGAAAAAGAAAAGAATAGGAAAAAAAATCCTAGGCTTTTTTTTTTTAGAAAAATTGTAAAAAATACAAAAGCTGAAAGATATAGAAAGAACATGGTGCCAATTCTACAAGGCAGGCACAACATGGAATGTTGGAGGACTACTGCAGAGTATGTGAGTTGAACCCTCTTCAAATGGTCTAGCATGTCTGAAAGTATAGAGGCAGCAATATGTCAAAAACTATTAGACCTTTGAAAATGAAGAATGAATTTTAACTCACTATTTAAGGTAAGGGCAGGTCAGTATTTTTTGTCTGCACTGCTGTCCACAATAGGCTGGTAACAGGGAATGTGAATGATATCTTGCAAAAATATGACTTTAAAAACCAGTTACAGTTATCTGAGCAAAAAGTTAAACTAAAGACTAGGAATTTATATACCTACACTGTATAGCACATGATCACAAAAAGTTGTTTAAGGAAATGCCTTTTCCTAAAATTGCATCAACTTTGCCTATACTCAAGGACCCAAGGCAAAATATGTAGAATGTACTCCTCCAAATGCCGCTAAACTACAATTCCCAGCAGTCTCAGAAAACAAGAGAAATGCTGCTTATTCTTTTGGCAGTATCTCTGACCAAATGTTTTACAAATGTCAGCAGAATTCATGAAGCATCTCCCTGTATGTATCTGGCATGAACTTCATATGTTGTTGTTGTTGTTCAGTCGTTAAGTCGTGTCAGACTCTTCGTCACCCCATGAACCATATCACGCCAGGCCTTCATATAGAACTTCATATAGAAATGTCTAAATGAACATAGAATAGAATGAAAAGAGTATATACAGACTCTAATGAAAAGAGTACATATATAGACTCTCGTACAATTTGGGGGTGAAACTGACTATTGAGATGCACTGCAATGAGACAAGGAGTACAGTGGTGCCTCTAGTTACGAATGCCCCTACTTACAAATTTTTCAAGATACGATCAGCTCCGGCCCCAAAAATTTACCTCAACTTGCGAACTTGCCTCGACTTACGAACCGGATCTGCGGCCATTTTCCGCCTGTTCCACGTGGTCTGCGGCCATTTCCCCCGTTCCACGTGGTCCGTGGCCATTTTTCCACCCATGCCACGTGGTCCGCGGCCATTTTCCGCCCGTTCCACGTGGTCCGCGGCCACTTTTCCACCCTTTCCACGTGGTCCGCGGTCATTTTCCCGCCCGTTCCATATGGTCTGCGGCCGTTTTTCCACCCTGCCGCGTGGTCCGCGGCCGTTTTTCCGCCCGACGCGTGGTCCGCGGACACTGGAACGGATTAACGGTAATTACATTGAACCTTATGGGAAAATTTGCCTCGTGTTGCGACCAATTTGAGTTGCAACCAGAGCCACAGAATGGATTAAATTCGTAACTCGAGGTTCCACTGTATTTGAAGATCACCATCATAACAGATGGGAATCAAGTCTGAAACCTAAGAGTTTCTGAAGGCAATGATCCATCTCCATTGTAAAATGATAAGCCCTTCTCAACATTATTGAGACACACAGAATAAAATGTCAATAAAAATTGGTCTTGATTAAGCTGAACTTTTTTTCAAGGGAAAATTTGGACAGGAAAAAAATTTATTTTAATACATACAGATATGTACTAGGTATATTGGATCTGAGTAGAGAGCCTATACAATCCCTTGAAATGTTTTTGAAATGGGAGACAAGACTGATTGCTCAAAAATGACAATGGAAAACAGAGATACCATCCAACACATAAGAAATACTGCATAGCACACACAGGGAGCTACATCTTGAAATCAACAAGCAAAGAATGTCTTTTTTGATGTCTACCCAAACCAGGCCACAGGATTCAAATTGTCACTATGTGATACCTTGAACCTATACAAGAAAATCTACAGGGATAAATAGGAATAAGTGGTTGAACTGTATCTGCTACAGCCAAAGTGCTATAATTATGCAATCTATTTCCTATAGATGGTTTGAGATATAAATGGATACTCCTAGGAAAATGTGCCTTGCTAGTGCTCCCTAGTGAATTAAGACTTATGAAATACAAAAGATAAAGCATACAGGAACTAAGTAACTTACAAAGAGAATCAAGTGCAAGCCCCAAAGGAACTTCAGATTGCGATAGCAAGGATTCAAACTTTACTTATGCACCACTAACTTGGATTTGCCATGCAAGTATATTAAGGCAACACCAATCCAACCACAAATAGAATCAACAGAAGATCAACATAGTTAGATACGCATTTTTTTCTTTTAAAAGCTTCTTTGAATGTTAGGCTTTCCTAGCAGGATTTGCTTTATTTATAAATCTGAGTGTGTCATTTTATTACAATAAATGTGCAACAAACTTGGAACTTGGAGAATCAAGTATTTTGGTAGGTTTCTGGAGATAAAGCCTCATGATGGTCTAGAAATATTATTCCAAACCAAGCATCATAGTAGACAAAGTAATGACCATAACAACAAAATGCTGTGGTAAAGTTTGAAATGTAAGTTATACAGTCAAGCGTTATCTTAAAAGCTTAGGAACCTCAAGCTGGAGGAATATTTGAATCTGGCATAAAATAAATGCTTCTTGGAATATTACTATATATAGCTACATTTTGTGGACTTTTGGTCACAAATAAAGCTGGTGCTCATAAACACAATGCCAGAGTCAACGATACTGACATATTTAACTGGTAAAGTCTTAGGAGTAGAAAGAAAATTAATATTTTCATCTTTAAAGATGTCATCTATTTTGTTCCTAAATGTTCAGAAAAAGGACTAGTCAAATAAAGCTAGATCTATATACTAAGAGCAAAAACATACTGAATCCTTAATAAAACTTGCACTATTCACACATAAGTATGAGCAAAATAAAGAGAAGATTTCTTAATGTGCACACTTAAAAACACACACACACAATCAGCCCACACCCTCCACAAAGTATGACTGAGAATGCTTAATCTATGGGGCTGCTATGAAAGGATTTTGTCTAAAACATGGTTTCTAATCATTAGCATGAGCAAATAGGAACTGAAGTAAATAGCAGCAAAAATTTCTATTTAATACTAACAGACTTTTACTAATATATTTTTCAGGATGTATTTTTTCCATAAAATTTTCAATTGCACATCCAGCAGTATAATATAAATTTTCTTTTATTAAAGTGAGTAAAGATATATTTACATGGAATAAAATGTTTTTATAAACAAATTACCAAAAGCTCAATCCAATGAACTAATGAGGATATATCCACCCACCACAAAACGTAACAGTACTCTCTTCTCCTTTATCAGCAAATAGAAAGAGTATATTAGAAAAATTAGTATGCATACACTCTCCTATCCCAGACAATGCATACAGGTATTGGTAAGATTGGATCAACTTCTAGACATTTTCTATATAGTATCTACAGCAGAACAGCTAAAGTAGAAGAAATTATATTTTCATTGGTCTTCAAACTTCTTCAAAATGGGCCAATCAGACGAGAAACCAAGCAGGAAGTAGCCTTCTTGGACTCCCATAAAATGGATCAATCAGAGATCAGCTTGCCAAATTCAAATTCAAGAGCCCAGTCAGCCCATTTCACTTGCCTGTGAGCTGCTGAGAGTTATGCCACAAAGCAGCTTATTCTGCTTCTGAAGATGCCAGCCACAGCTGCTGGCGAAACATTAGAACAAAAGGAAACTAGACCATGGCCATTCAGCCCGAAAGCCCATCACCGAGACATAGTACACTGTGGCTGCTTGTTTAATCAGAATCTCTTTATCTACTAACAGAACTTATAAGAAGTTCAGATCACATTGTAGATAACACTGCAGGATTGTGGATAGTTGTAAAATGTATGCAAACTTTAGCACTTTAAAAAACAGCAACATCACATTTATTATAAAGTCATAAAATAGCAAAATACAAATCTGTTCTAGGTATCAGGCTTACCTCTCAACAGCATTCTGGGATCCACAAACCTTGTACCACAGAGGTCACATGAGAAAGTGCACTACAGAGGTATCACATGAACTAGAAGAATTAGTTGAACAGTAGATACTTACATCTGGATATTCTTTTACAGGCACATATAGTTTCTCTTGTAGCTGTACAATAGGTCCCACAGCATCAGGTAACTCCGCACTTCTCTTCTCCGTGCTACCATTTAATGTGTCATTATACATGTCTTTCCGTACTCTGCTAATTTCTGTAGAAGGAAAAATATATACTGTGTGTTATTATTAACAAAATTAAAAATCTAAAATAATAATTTATTAATTTAACTGTTATCTCTAGGGAACACTGTATTTAATCAGCAAAGTAATTAGCAACTGAACACACAAGCATATATTTAAAAAAAAAATTTTTTTGAGTTGAAAGTACTGATGGCCACCAATTAGGACCCATCTCTGAATGCACTGAATCTCTCTTGCTCACCATAAAGAGTCTCTGAGTTTTTATACAATCTTGCCTTTGCATTTTCCAATAGCCTTGGGAATGAACTGGTTTCAGGCTTACAATCCTCATATTTAGTGTGATCAGGATAAGGCTTTGATTCTTAGGCTTGTAAAGCACAGAGCCTACAAAGCCTCAACCCCCTTCCCACTCACCACCATGCAGCAGAAGCAACTTGCTACTTTACCTGTCAAATATGCAGAAAATGCTGGTATTTTGGAAAGATGGGACTAAAGATCCTGCCTGCCATTGATTCTGTGATTGTAAAATCAATCTCATTCCTGGAGCTCAGATTCCTGCAAAATGCCACTGCCCAAAGTCAGACAGAACTGGTCTACCTAAAGGACTTTACTGATGAAAACCTGCACAAAACCTTCATCCACTAGTCCTCCTCCCCCGCAAGTTCTCTTACTGTTTTTGATAAGAATTATAGCTACCTCCATGTAAGCTGACTACTGGTTTCTGAACTCTGTACAGTATCTATAGCATATTGTTACCCTTTCCCCCTCATTTTTGAATTCTTGGAACAACTGTACAAGGCATTTTTATCATATCAGATCTCAGGAGAATGTTCAATCTGATTTGCCTAATGGAAAGACACAAATGTTTTTCTTTAATATTCATTATGAGAAATACCTCCCTCCCTCAGTCCTGCTATGGTGCCTCATCGTGGTGGGGGTGAGAGGTTGTTCCCCAGAGGGATGACCAAAGAACACCAGGAATGTATGCCAACAGTATATACTCCCAGCAGGGTCACCAAAAGCATGAAAGTTAAAGCAGGCGTTTATACTGGGCAGCACAGTGATATAGGAAGATTCTGGAGGCAGATTATTGCTTTAGTGACGATTGCAAAAGCCTCATTTCATACTGCATGGGAGAAAGCAATGATAATCCATTCCTGTATTTTACCAAGAAAACCATATGGGCAGATAAGACAAAATGATTGCTGATATAAGTACTGGATGACGGGCCCCTGAGGTCGGATGACACTCAACATACTATTGATGAAGAGCTGAGGATCTTTCAAAATACTGATGGTGTTTACGATGTGATTAGATTAAAGCTTTTGGGATGTCTAGTTGCTGGTGCTACTATGCAGGCAAAGAAAATCCAAAACTGCAAAGACAGAATTACAATGAGAATAAGGAATGTAAGAAGGAAAAGCTCAACACAGTGAAAGATTAAATGAATTGATGAAGCACTGATATCTTAAGCATCACTGAATTGAACATTTTCAGTCAGAACAACAAACTGTTTACTACTCATGATATGAAAAACAAAGTATTATTTCTTTCATAATCAGGAAGGACATAGCAAAGACTGCATTTGGGTATATGTAGCCAATGACTGAATATCATTGAATGAACAACCCTGTAATATGATGCAGAAACTGATGCAGGAAAAGAGGAGGTTGACAAGTTTCATGTTTCAAGTTCAATCTGAAATCAATAGAACATGCAAGCAAGATGTGCTGTGTGTGGTTTGAAACCTGAATGCCAAAATTGGAAATAGTAAGGAGGAAACCATAATTAAACTGTATAGCCTAGAAAAAGAAATAAAGCAGGAGAATGACTTATCAGTTTCTTCAAATCCAATTATTTCTTCATTGCTAACAGTCTTCAAACAAGCAAAGTAACACCTATCTACATGTACAATACCAGATAGCGCACACAGAAATCAAATTGACTACATTACTGGTAAAAGGAGATAGAAGACCTCAGGTATAACACCAAAGACATGGCCAGGGTTGAGCTCACCATGTCTTTGCCAGCTCAGCCATGGCATGAGTTCCTCATGTGCAAGTTCCAAGTCAAGCTAAAGTGGTAGAACACAGTCAACCAGTTTCTGTGATCTGATCTTGATGGTAGATATACCTATGTTTGTGGAGTCCTTGGGGTCCTCTGAACCCCAAGGACTCCACAGTTCAACCCTGAGCTACACATATTCGCCTCTACTGATACCTACGTTTTCAAGGAGAACATCAGGAATCGTTTTGAAGTCCTAAACCAAATGGTTAGGGATCTAGATGAACTGGGAAGTGAACTCTAAGAAATTAAGGATCAATGTGAAAAGAGATTGCCAAAGACCAAGAAACAGAAGAAAACAAACTGGATGTCAGGTGGAAAGGCAGAAATTTCCAAGGGAAGAAAAGCCAAAGCCCAAAAAAGACAAAGAATTTAAGAAAGAACTTCACAAAAAAAATCAGAACTGTTAGGAGAGACCAGCAACATCATCATCATTTCACATCTTTATTTGTACAAGGTGGCATACATAATGCTCTTACCTATTTTCCCACAACACCCCTGTGAGTTTGGTTGGGCTGTGAGAGAGTGACTGGCCCAAAGTCACCCAGCCAAGTTTTCATGCCTAACAGAAGTCTAGAACTCATGGTTCTGTTACTCTATTAGAACAATATCTGTAAAGACACTGAAGAGTGAAACAAACATGGAAAAGGGAAAGTTTTCCAAAAGATCTCTAAATTCAAAAGGTGGTTCCAACCTCCAATTTGTATGCTAAAGGAATGGACAGACAGTAACTGATTCAAAGATCAAAGATATAAGGTGTGTACCGAAATTCTGTACAGTAAGGATGTCAATATCCTAATCAGAAGGCTACAGGAATTGATGCAATATCTACTGTACCAAAATATGGTAAGCAACAGAAGAATCAGTAGTTTCTAACCAAACTATGCCCCCAAATCTGGTGAACAACACAAGGGCAAGCAAATCAGAAATCAGTCTACTTACCAATACTACAGAAGGGAAACTTAATAATGTGCAAGTATCTCACAATATCCTTAATTTCACATGCTAGCAAAATAATACTTAGGGTCATTCAATGCAGATTAGAGCCCTACATGGAAAAGGAGCTGCCAGAAGTTCAGGCTGGTTTTAGTAAAGGATTATTTCTGATGCATGGTGGATAACTGAGAAGACAAAGAATACTAAAAAGAAGTGAGTATGTGCTTCACTGACTATAGAAAGGCCTTTGATTGTGATGACCATGTCAAGCTATGGATATCTTATTGCCCTCATGCACAGGACAGGAAGCCACAGTCTAGATGGAAGATGATAAAAAAAAAATAGTAAATTGGCTCCAGGTCAGCAAAGGAGTGAAACAAAGCTGTATACTCTCCTTATTTATTCAATCTATATGCTAAATATATATTGAGGAAGCTGGATTTGGAGAAGATGGGCATGGACTTAAAATTGGAGGAAGAAACATCAATAACCTGTGCTACACTGATGACACTACTCTGACAGTTACTGTATTGCCTCAGCGGTTAAGAGTCAACTAAGCTCCCAATGTAAGGAAATCTAAGTACAGCAGTACAAGTAATATTTAATGTTAGAAACACTCAGGCAAGTTTAGAAAGAAAATGAACCTACAAAAAATGTTGAAATGTTTATCTTTATTTATTGTTTCCTTCACAATACCCATTCCCTCTCAAATGATTTTTCAAATATACACAGAGAATATTCTATTCCTTGGCGAATGAGCATGCTCATTCCTCCTTGAACTGTTTTAGAAATTTCTTGATTAAAGTTCTCCTATAATGATTTTTATAAAATATTGCAACCTCTGAGATTGCTCTGAACTTGGTGAGGTTTCTCTTGCTACATGGAATGTGCTGTTTCGGCTACATCCCTGAACCCATTGAGGCCTCCTTCCGTTTTGTGGATAGTGACATTACAGCAGCCATATTTTCTGAACATCAGAATTAGAACAGATCAGAAGCCCTGTAACAAATGGCAGTGAAATATATGTTTTTGTTATTTTACTTTTGGTTGAAACATGAAACAGCTTAGCACCAAAAATCAATCTCTGCTCTAGCTCGAATAGTATCTCAAATCCAAAGTGTCTGTGTAAGCAAATATGAACATTTTGTTTTTGAGCATTTAATAAATAAGTAACCTATTCTACATGCATGAACTTCTCAATGCAACTAAGTAGCTGAGAGAAATCTGCAGGAGTAGAAAGACTCTGAACATTTTTTTCCTAATCAGAATAAACAAAAATCCGAACAGTTTCTATCCCACTTTGATCTAAAATATTAACTACATAATTGCAAATATAAGTATTTCCAAACCAGTTATTTCCTCCTCTCAGCCTGTTATGATCATAAAGGTATATTAGGCTTATTTAGTTAATTTAGTTTTCTTTCATTTTAAAATATTAAGCTATTCATTGGTTGACTGTTCTAATCAGCCACATCATATTGTAGGACTTAAAATGACCATGCATTCTTAACTATTTCCTTTTGGATGCCAATTCATAATAGTTAGAAGTACTGGCTTATCAAGCTAAAGATCAGCAATTACTAATGTTTCTGCTTTATAATTTTATGTTGTAAAATGTTCTTGTGGGGTTTCAAACTCTTACATTATATGAAGCTGCAACCTTTCCATCAAAATCACATTATGATTTTGACCAGTGATTTCCGCTACACTAGAACAGAAAGAAAACTAAGCACCCCCTACAAACCTTGTCAAAAAGTATCAGATCCTCCGCAATACAGAAAAAACAATTCAAATATCAAGTAAAAAAACACTAAAAGCCCTACTAACTTTTCTTTCAATATAACTTTGTAAAGCTATGTTTTTTGCACACACAGCAACCAAAATCAAATATCAAAATAGGCTATATATTGTGCTGATCCTGGGAATTTTTTAAACAGACCTGATTTCAGGCAATGAAGAAATAAGCTATCATATGCATGTTTATATATATGATTATGATTTACAATAAATA